ATACTTGGAGATAGTAAGGCTTCCCTTGATGTGCTTGCCTTTACTGCTATATCATTGGGATTGGTATATGTGGGTTCGTGCAATGAAGAGATTGCTCAGGCAATAATATTTGCATTGATGGAAAGAAGTGAGTCAGAATTAGGCGAGCCCTTTGCCCGCCTGTTGCCTCTTGGTCTTGGTCTCCTGTATCTTGGAAAACAGGTAACAATGCTATATAGAAATAACCTTGAAACGAAAAATATTTGTTCTTAATGTTAGTATCCCAATAGCCTGGATATTTGTTGATCAATGTTCTAGCAGTGAACTGTTAGATCTTGCGGAACCTTTTTTCTTGCCATGATGATTTTGGATCCATCTGCCATTTTTTATAGGAAAGTGTCGAGGCTACAGCTGAGGTCTCAAAGACTTTCAACGAAAAGATTAGAAAACATTGCGATATGACCCTGCTTTCTTGTGCCTATGCTGGGACAGGCAATGTGCTCAAGGTAGTACAAGACTTGTGCTTTTAAGTGGTTTCATGAGAGTAACAGCAATAGCTGAAAGATTCAATGTCTCAGGTCCAACATTTTCTTGGTCAATGTGCCCAACATTTTGAGAAGGGTGAAACCTTCCAGGGACCTGCCGTCCTTGGTATTGCAATGGTGGCAATGGCTGAAGAACTGGGGCTCGAGATGGCCATACGCTCGCTAGAACACCTTTTACAGTATGGAGAGCAAAATATCAGAAGAGCAGTTCCTTTGGCTCTTGCCCTCCTCTGCATTTCAAATCCAAAGGTATATTGGAAAATATATGTATCATTGACCTCATTTTGTCCTTCTCTGTTGCTTCTTTAATGTTGAGTTACTGAAAGTTTTATCATAAGCAGTAGATGCCCAGGCTTTTTCTTCTTCTCTCGTTTCTCACGTACCAGCATACGTTTTGCTCCTTGGTTGCTTGGACAGGTCAATGTGATGGACACACTGAGCAGGCTTAGTCATGATTCAGACTCCGAAGTAGCTATGGTATGTTTGAGGAACAGCAGAAAGTAGATATTTGTGTTACTATAGATTTTTTTCTTTCTCAAATCTCAACTGCTCATCTAAATACTGTATGTAGGCTGCTATCATTTCCTTGGGATTGATAGGTGCAGGAACAAACAATGCCAGAATAGCTGGCATGCTGCGCAATCTCTCCAGTTACTATTACAAAGAAGCCAACCTTCTCTTCTGCGTAAGAACTAATTTTCTTAGTTCTCTTTTGGCTCCTGTAATATTCAATTACGACCCCTTTCTCTGATCATTGGCATCACTACTTCTGCAGGTACGGATTGCCCAAGGTCTTGTTCATTTGGGAAAGGGATTGTTAACTCTCTCACCATATCATTCTGAACACTTTCTGTTATCTCCGTAAGCCCTCTCTTCTACAACTTGCATGTGGTTCTTCATATTGATGTTTGGAAGGGCAAGCATTATCTAGTCTCTACACAAAGCGTTCAAAAGCATATCCACCTCACGAGTTGAAAATGATTTTCTTATGCAATGAAGAAGAGTTCTCATCTTGATGTGCAACAGTGAACATTGGTGCATTAAACTGCAAACTTCAGCACTAATCTGCTAAATGCCATTTCTTTTGCAGTCTGTGTTGTAGATTTGTTCTTTAACTGATTTAAAAAAAATATGACTAATCAGTATTCAGAGGATTGAGCTAGTTGGCTGATTGATAGAATACAGCTCAAGTTTAATATACTAGCTCTCTTTGATCCTATGTAGAGCTGCATAGCTGACCAGCTTTGAACCTTTTCAGGACTGCATTGGCTGGACTGGTAACTATGCTGCATGCATGTCTTGATATGAAGGCCATTATCTTGGGGAAATATCACTACGTGCTATATTTCCTCACTTTAGCTATGCAGGTTTGCTATCTGTTGAGCAAGCCTATTCTTTTTTATCCTGTTCTGGTTTTCCCACTATCAGCTCCTAATTTTATTTCCTTCTACTCTGGCTTCATAGCCGAGGATGCTGCTGACTGTGGATGAAAATTTGAAACCCTTGTCGGTTCCTGTCCGTGTTGGCCAAGCTGTTGATGTTGTAGGTCAGGCAGGTCGACCCAAGACCATTACTGGTTTCCAGACTCACTCAACCCCGGTTCTCCTTGCTGCCGGTGATCGAGCTGAGCTCGCAACCGAGAAGTATGCTTCTTCTTATGCTTTGGAGTTTGATATGATTTTGCAGACATATTTTTTTTTAAATTTTTCGCATTTCAACTGATTCCAGTCATAATATTTTAACAGTGTAGTTCCTATAGCTTCTTGTCTTATTCATATTTGTTGTCAATGCACAGATACATTCCGCTCTCGCCCATTCTTGAAGGCTTTGTCATCTTGAAGGAGAACCCCGATTATAGAGATGATCAATAGTGACCTCAATGAGGTATATGAATGAAATGAGTCAAGAAGTTTTAGATGCCTATGATATTTATCAAGGGGGAATGGAAGGAGACGTCGATAATGCTGTCTAATTTGCTCAAGTTGCTTTGCCGTGAGATCCATTTGCTGATGTTTTGGTGGCGCAACTGAGGCTATCGGGTCCATCTTTGCTTTTAAGTGTTTGAAAGTTTCCAAGTTTATCTCTCAGCGGCACACCTTTACCTGATGTGTTACTTTCCTTTTGTCTCATTGAAGTGCTCTGTGTAAAGTTGCAGATAGTTAGTTATTGCTGAAGCTGAAATGGAAATCGGCTTTGGCGTCAGACCTTACGTTTCCGGCGTAGTTTAATGATGTTGCTCTATGGGTTGGGACTCGGGAGAGCTGAATTATGTAAAATCGAAAATGACTATTTTTTATCATGATATTATTTCTGCGTAAAGTTGAGGAGAGCTAGAATCCAAAAGGGTCTAAGCAATGACTGTCGAGATTAAACAAATTCGAGCGAATTTTATTTTCGTACATGATTTTTTTTGCTCTTTCATGTCACTTTGCGAGCCACCAGATATATGTGAAGGATGTCAAGGAGAAATCGACCTTATAATCTTTGTTTATGTTCTTGCCATATCGCTAATTAGAGGCTTGATTGTCCCTGTACTGTCAAAGTATAATTCCAGGAACACAACACCATGAGCCATAGCTGTTAACACCATGAAGAATTGAGAAATGATGGTGCGAACTTATATCTAATTTATTTGAACCTTAACCCATATGTAAGTTATGAAGTGTAAGAGTAGATTAACATTTAACAGTATACGACTAAATACAAAGAGGATCTTAAATTTGATAGAAGAAGTTCTATCACAATTACAAACTACATAAGTTCCATAAGCGAAGTTTCATTAGCACATTTTTTCGTTTTTAATTTTATTTATTCATTTAGTAGATGATAACCAATTTCATGCACCATCCTCGTTTCACTATTACATTATTGAAGATATTATATAAATAGATGCAAAACAGGTGCCCCTACGTTCATTCATATTCACATAAAGCTACTCATAAACTAGTGCTGCAAATACACTAGATTAGATAAAGTAACGTGGACTACACAATCTGGGAATTCAACCGAATTTAGGTCTCTGCCATCATCCAAAATCCTCATCCAAGTCAACTTACACTAACTACACAATCAGAAATTAGAGACAAGAAAGTAAAAAAGGTAATAAACTATATTATTTAGTACCCTTTCCGTTTCGGTTTACGTAATATTATTTCTTAATAATTCATTACAAAAAGAATTATACTATATTTTTATATTTAAAAATAATTAAATTAATACTGAGAAGTTTTTATAGACGCACAAATATTATGCTCCATGTTTAAGATCACAAGTTTAATAAGTTCTATAAGCCATACAAAAATGTATACAGTTAGAATAACAAGTTTTAAAAACTCTAATTTTTTCTTAAACTTTGTATGAAATCAAATATATCACGTAAATTAAAACGGGGTACTACACTTGAAGGAGAGAGCAATTTCGTCACTCCTCTTATGTGCCACAAATAAGGTCACTTCTTGTGCATGAATAACCGAATTCAAAATTCCTAAAATGACTTAGAGCCCGTTGGCTTAGCTGATGATTTAGAGTAACTGATAAGCATTAGGTGCTGAAACACTTTTAAGTGTTGAAGCTGGTTAAAAAATAGGCAGTTACGTGTTTGGATAAAAGTGCTGAAATTAATAATAAGCAGCTGAAACTGATTGCTTAAAAAGTGCTGATAAACTCTTTTTATGTTAAAATGACTTAATGACCCCATAACAATTTACACTACTAAAAACGTTATTTTCTTCAAAATTTTAGATTCTACATAGATTCTACCTATTTATCATGTTATTTTAATTATAAAAATAATTCGATAATATCTTTTTTATAAATATAATTTATGTTATGATAAGTATACAATCATAAATTAGAAGAGGTGGAGTATAAATTAACAAAAGTTAAGAAGAGAACCTTAAATAATGCACAAAATGCTTGTAGAGAAGAAATAAGCACTTAATATGTATTGTTTGTAATAAATAAGATTAAAATATTCATTGTAGAGGAAGCAATAAGATCAACCCCTCTACTGTTGCAGAGGCATGGCTAGAAGGCAACGTCTGTTTATAGAGGCATGGCTGAAAGGCAACGTCTGTTTATGGGTTTTGAAGAGTTAAACTATACGAAGAGTTTTGTTTTAAAAAGAAGTATTTTAGGGATAGAATAGTAAATGTGTTGGTCAAACCTAAAGTGCTTATAAGCTAAAATTTGATAAGTTGGGAGAGACCAACTTATGGCTTTTGGCTTATAAGCACTTAACTTATAAGCACTTTTAATTTTACCAAACGCGTAGATAAGCCAAAAAGTGCGTATAAGACAGTTTTACCAGCTTATAAGCTTAGCCAAACACCCTCTTAAACCTAAAACCTCACAGGAAGACATTATAAAGAACTATGGGAAAGGAAAAAACAAAAAGCAAAGGGGAAGAAAAGTTAGAACCAAAAATACTTTTGTTTGATATAGGAGGCCCAGAAAACGAAATGAAACCAAATAAAGTCGCCCCATCAATTTATTTTTTCATTAATTTGTTCCTTTCCCCCCCTAAAAGTACTGCGAAAAATAATTTCACACTTTGATAATAGTCTAAAAGCTTGAACTAATATTTTTTCCTAATGCTCAGTAGCCCGGCCCGGTCATTAAGCTTCCGTTATGCGCCAATTCCGGAGAAGAGCCAGATGACATGGGTCTATTGTACGCAGTTTTACTTTGCATTTCTGAAAGAGGCTGTTTCCGCTACTCGAACTCTTGACCTTCTAGTTACATGCAGTAACTTTACCAATTATGCTAATGCTCACCGGCATCTATGACATTTTATTAGCATAACTATTTATCAAAGCCAAAGCGTTGCTGGTCACCTCCTTCACCTAAGCAGCACGATCAGAGACGTCCATCTTCAAGGGTCCATTAGGAACATCTTCAAATCCGTCCGTACACGTTTCTTCATTCGTTAAGGCGGCGCTCATCCATGTTTGAACGTTGCTAATCTGGAACCTCAACGACTCGCCCGAGCCCCCGAGCGTCCTCATTTGATTTAGCGAGTCGCGTATTTGGTCCACGAAATCTCTGAACACAGAGAAGCAGTTGTGTAGAGCAGCCCCGGTTCGTGGCTGGGCCCCGTACTCCGCTTCACGGGAGAGGTTGGAAAGGTATGCCACGACAAATTTGGCTTTGTCTAGACTAACTCCGATGGCTACAAGAGCCAACCGAGCAGAGTCCTGTTGGACAATGCTGGCGTAGCTACAGAGAGAGTTATAGCATGTGTCAGGATATTGTGTAGTTTGACAACTCGAACGGATAAAATCGGAGTTACTGGTGATAGGGCTGTTGCTGGCCGGCAAGGGAGCAGTGGCGACAGTGTTGAGAAGGCGGCGATGAAGGTGGAAGGCGACGAAGTAGAAGAAGAAGATGATGAAAAGGGAACGTGGAGTTCGCATAATTTAGCTTTTTTCTTTCTTTGCCTTCAAACTTGCTAATGAAAGCAATATGAAGAAGGTGGTTTAACACCTCTATGTTGTGGTTTTAAAAAGCAGTATTTCCCTTGGATGCCCAGCTTATGTAGGCAAATTTGCCATGCCCTGAAATGACCTATATGCCCTTGTTGAACACACTGGTCTTGTGGTTGTGAGAAATTTTGTTGGGATTTTGTCAACATGTAAAATCCAAAATGTGTTCCTTGTTGTAGACACGTGAATTTTATTAAAGTTAGTCCATACAAAATTTGGACTTGATTCTTAAATTCGTAAAATATTGGCACAAGTCTATATTAGATTATTTAAGTTTAAGATATGGATTTAAATAAATGTTGAACTTCATTTGGGTTAGTCCATTGAGTTGGTCCTCAATTGATGAGCCCACTCCATTAACCTAAAGTTCATATACCGCGTGTCAAATGAGATGGCACACAAGGACTACTAAAATCATGCCATGTGTATAAGTGATGTAGCATGCCAAGTCAAACACGAGGATCAATCAAATGTTGCCAAGTGTTCAAATGTTATGGTTTAACCAATCACATATTGTTACATCTCGCATTTTCGTACGTTAAAGTTTCGTCTTCAGTTAATCGACGTAGACTCGGGGATGAGATTATCTTGAGGTTAACGTATTTATGCTATTTATAATAAGCGATAAGTAAGTGCCATGAATGATTAAGGGTACACGAATAAAAGAAAATAAGTTTCGTTGAAGGTTGTCGATTTGGGATAAAATACGGTCCGAACGATAATATCCGGTATTTATGGACTAGTACCTACAAGGTACCATATGACCATTATAGTATGATGTATAAGGTGTATTAAAAATAAGTAGTATTTTAAGTAATTTGAGACAACTCTTAATTATGTGGGTAATTGATTAATTATTGGTTCAAATAAGAGTAACACTTAAATGACTCTTGCCTTAGACAAACTAATTAGTGGCGACTTGGACAACAATTCTAAGGCAATTACACATAAAGAAGTGACATTATCCTAGTCATCTCTACTTATCTTCAAAATATATCCAATTCATTTCTTGGCAAAGATTATATACATTGAGGCAAAACAAGGAACGAAGACTTATATATCTAATAAAGATGAATGCTCAAGTTGCCGTTGCTTATATTGCTGGAATTTGGACCTTTCTTCATACTCTAATTGATTAAGCACCACGGAAACTACAATATGTGCAAGACCAACGGATCGCTCCTTACCCGTGTAGATTTTGTCTCAAGAATATCATACGAATTTTTCTCTACTCCAGGTATGTTAATGATATCCCTTCTTTCTTTTGACATGATCCAAATGATACAAAAAGAAACGAGCAACCGCACAACTTTCATAAACGACTCTATTCATAGAAATACTAGGGGTCTCTATGTTCTTGATTCCCCATGCGACATATTATTATATCTTCTGTCCATGGGTCTCAGAATATTACACAGTTGATAAAGTTTATCCAAAAGGAATATTGAGATTATTAACATATTTTCATGCATTTCATTCATTTATACATGTACATTGACCCATGATCGGATGGCGTTATATACGCGTATTTATATGTATATATATGTATATGCGATATGGAAAAGGGTTACTGCGTTATATACGCACCACGACTTGATCGGTTAGTATATGTTGATGATTTTGCCCATAGTGGCCGAGATGATATGATGGGATGCCCTCAAAGTCTTGATGATGTTATATACACCTATACCTATGCATGACACGACATTTACACGCACGTGCATGATGTTATAACATTTTCAGGATTTGGAAAGTTATTTAGACTTACAGGCGGAATTCCTTATTCCATATTTCATATATGTCTCTTATTTACTGATTTTTATGCCTTACATACTCAGTACATTATTCGTACTGACACCCTATTTCCCGGGGCCTGCTTTTCATGCTCGCAGGTGCAGGTAGGCAAGCTGACGGTCCCCCTTCTTAGGATCCTTGATCAGCGAGAGTTGGCGTGCTCCATTTGATCCGGAGCTGCTTTTGATTTTGGTACGATATGCTTGTATACATACATAGGTATGACGTGGCCCAGTCCCGTCCTTGTACAGTTGTATTTTCTATTAGAGGTCTGTAGACAGTTATGTATAGTTGGATAGTATGTGACCTTGTCGACTTCCAGTTTTGGATATATAGTTGTCCATAGCAGCCTTGCCGGCTCGCCCACTGTATTCCGTATGTATATGTACATATGTCTTTTGGATAGGTTTCCCTCACGTATGTTATTCATCTTTATATCTTAAACGCATGCTTAAGGATGTTCGACATGTAGGATTCGGGCACCCGTTGCGGCCCATCAGTTTGGGTCGTGACACATACAATCACATAACATAGCTTTGGTGATAACTTTGATGACTCATGTGAACCAATCAAATTGAAGGAGAAAGAGTATGTATCTATCACAAACTCCCTTCCCCTACAACTATAAATAGGGTTCTCCATAAAGACAAAATGCATGAATCAGAAGAGGAGGAGAAATACAAGCATCAATAAGCCTTTAATTTCTCCACGGTGGTGATCTGTAAGTTTTTCACAAATTAAGAAGTCTTCTTTACAGGTGGTGATCCACAAGACTTCCATGCACTCCACGTTCGTGATCAAAGCCTGACTCTACGCTCGTGATCAAATTCAAAAAACAAGTTTAGCCCGTAAATTCAAGAACAAGCCATCAAGCCCCTTGAAGTTGACGATCGTGAGGAGAAGAATCAGATGATTACATCTTTTAACTTATAAAGATTGTTCAAAGATTGTAACCCGCAAAAGTCATTGAAAAACAAATACTTTTATTTGTGGCTATATTTTTTATCTTGATTATATTATTTTTTAAGAATAAAGTTTTAGTTGTTACAAATTTTGGCACGCCTAGTGGGACAATCTTTGCCTCTGATATCTTCTCTTTAAAGTTCAAGAACACTAAGATGGCCGCAATGAAGATCTACTCCAGATGTGATACTACTGAGGAGGCCCAATCCAAAAATTAATTGAAAGTTGCCTTGGAGATTATTGGCCAAATCAAAAGTATTAAAGCCGAAATGTTGGGACAACATGTTCTTCAAGTACCGTCCAAGTTATCTCATATTTCCCCAGCATTTTCTTCAAAAGAAGTGATAACTTCTTCGTGCATGCCAGAAGAAGGAGACAAAGAAAGACATTATAGGTCAAATGATGTCGTTAAAAGGATCGAGGAGGTTCTTGCCAAACTTAGTTTATCTGGGTCCAAGAAACCTCTCATGCAAGCCGATGATGATGTCTTAAGCCCTGGATCTACTCTGCATAACATGTCCAAATATCATGCTCATGAAAGTTCATGTCATTCTCCATCTTCTATGGCAATCATACAAGCGATGGTTATTGAAACTTCTACCATAGAAGAACAACTTGCAAATTTGACGAAAGTAGTTAAAGGCTTGTCAAAGTGGGTGCAAAATCAAGATGTTAAACTTTTCAAGTTGAAAAATAAATTGGATAGCATATTAGAAGGAGAATCGACACAAATATGCATTGGGGTCTTTGCTACACATTACAAGGCGTAAAGCCTAAAACATTTGAAGAACTAGTAACCCGTGCTTATGATGTGGAACTAAATATGGCCACAAGTGGAGGCCAAGGGATTCCTGTCTTTGAGCCTTATGAGGAAGAGGAAGAAGAGGAAGAAGAAGAAGAAGAAGAAGAAGAAGAAGAAGAAGAAGAAGAAGAAGAAGAAGAGGAACAAAAGGCGAGGATAGGGGAAAGTTTTTATTCAAAAATGAAATCGAAGAGTCTATGCATTTCACTATGCTCTTCAACGCACGAGTCTAAACTACAAGTTGTAATGCTCCTCAATGCACGAGCCTAAACTGCAAGTTTTGATGCTCCTCAATGTACGAGCTTAAACTGCAAGTTATGAGGCTCCTTGATACATGAGCCTAAACTACACGTCATAAAGCTCATTAAATTCGAGCCAAATCTTCAAGTGATAAAGCTCATCAAATTTGAGCCAAATATTCATGTCATAAAGCTCATCAAATTCAACCAAATCTCCAAGTCACAAAGCTCGTCAAATTTGAGCTAAATCTTCTCGTTTCAAAGCTCTTCAAATTCGAGCTAAATCTTCAAGTTTGAAAACTGATATTTTATGCGTCAATACCACATAAGGGGGGGGGGGGGGTTTGATTTGTGTGGTACCCAATTTTTTGCTTAAACTGCTTCTGGAAGGACCTGGTTCTTCTATGTGTTCCAACTACTACTGTTGCGGAATAATAAATACAGAAAATAAAGAACACAGAGATTTTACGTGGAAAACACCCGGCTCAAAAGGTGAAAAAACCACGACCTACTACTCAGTAGGATTTTCCCCAACACTTCACTAAATCACTGAGCCAAAACAGCATTTACAAAACTCTTTGTAAACCTAAGGATTACCTCTAATCCCGTTGTGGCAACCGGCCTCTAACTGTTGCGACAACTTCAAGTTAACTCTAACTTGAATACTCAAAGTACCTATTACAGTTGCTTCTAAATAAAGCTGAAAGGTACAATATGAAAACACCTACAACAATTGAACTAGAAATAAAGAAAGACACATAAAACTCTTTATGGAGCTGGTTCTTCAATCTGGTTCATGTAGCTTCTGGTTTGCACACTTGAATCACACACGAACTGCTTGCAAAAAGCCTTGCTATTTTGCTCCCAATTCACGTTTAACTTATGCGTTTTTGTGCAACACTTGTAATGTGAGAACATCCTGCAATTTATAGAGTTAGTAGATGAAGAAATAACTAGAGTTCTGATGCAACTCTTCCTTGGTGGGAAGAGTTCTAGTTGATTTCAACTTCTAACTCCTTCCCTATCTTGGATAGTGTTCTCTTTGATTAGGGAGTCCTTCTCCTTATCAATTATGCAACCTTTTCGATCAGGAGATATTAAATACAACTAAGTTAAGCTTATCTCCTTCACGTGCAACCCACATGCTCGAATCTGCCGATTTTTGTGCACCTGAGGGATGGACCTGGTTCATTCTGAGTTCCTTTGTCAGTCTT